GTGCCAGGCTGCCTTCAGTTCACCCTGAGCTCCTGCTTGGAGCCAGTGCCAACTGCATTTCCTCATTTCAGGGCATTTGCTGGCACAGAATTCAGGGAACTTCATGAATCAGGGCTGAGGTGTGGCACTTGGCCCAGTAGATCTGCTGCCTTTCTGACGGGTTCTGTTTTCCTTAACTGAAGTCAACCTTGGCCTGGCGTGCATGATCTTCCCTGGTGTTGGGACTTGACATTCTTCAGCTATTCCCACACACCCATTGATTGCAGGCTGGTATTCTGTTATCAGACAATTTGAGTGGGAAACAGCCAAGAACCGGGTTGTTTTGTGCATTAGAGACAAGAATGAAATTAAGTAAGCTCCCCCATGTAATTCTTTCTGAAACATGCCTTTATTCCAAAGCCCTGCAGCCTGTCTCATAGGGAGTCTTTCAGTTGTGAGGCCTAGGCAGGAAAATACATAAAACTAGATATGCTTCCTATGTATTCATTTAATGTTGTTTTCAAACTAGGCAACTTTATGATGTGTGGACTTCAACTCCTAGAATTTATTAGCCGGCGCTGATTGAAACTGAAATGCAGGCCAGAGGCTGGAGAAAATTATTCTGTATTCTTTCCTTTGAATAAAACGCAGCATTTACATTTTTCATAGAATTTGAATAAACTACACAGACAGATACAGTTGGCAACCAAGTTATAGAACTCAATTTATTTAGCTTCTTTCTTTTATTTATGGCAGGTTATGGGGAATAATTATAGGGATAATGTTTTGGTCATTCAGTGCTTCAGAACCTAACTTCACAATCACAATGTCTTGTTATGCACTGTTTTATTATCTGCAATTGAACATTGGAACAGAATATGTTGCCCTCCCACACCTCTCCTGATAAATAGGTCCTCTTACAGTTTTGTAAGGAAACTGGGCAACTCAGAGAGTTGAGTACATCCAAAATAAATCAGGCTCGGTAATACTCCATATCTTACTGAACTGAGAAATCTGAGTATATTGTATTTTTCTTCTTGAATCTTGCAAACATTATACTTAACAATCCTGGAGTGGATTTCAGTTGTTTTTTTCCTCACAAATATCCACAGTCTGAGAGCATGGAGCTAATTCTCCCTATAATGGAGTTGGAAGGGACTTTGGAGCAGTGGTGGGATTCAAATTTTTTACTACCGGTTCTCTGGGCGGGGCTTGGTGGGCGTGGCAGGGGAAGGATACTCTAAAATCTCCAGTCAGAGGCAGGATTTGCCAGTTCTCCGAACTACTCAAAATTTCCACTACTGGTTCTCCAGAACTGGTGAGAACTTGCTGAACACTACCTCTGCCTTGGAGGTCTTCTGGTCCAACTGGCTGCTGAAGCAGAAAACCCTATACCATTTTAGACAAATGGGTGTCCAGTCTCTTCTTAAAAACCTTCAGAGGAGCACCCACAACTTCTTGAAGCAAGTCATTCCATTCATTAATTGTTCTACCTGTCAGGAAATGTCTCCTTAGTTCTAGGTTGGTTCTCTCCTTGATTAGTTTCCATCCATTGCTTCTTAATCTGCCTTCAAGTGCTTTGGAGAATAGGTTGGCCCCCTCTTCTATGTGGAAGCTTTTTAGATATTGGAACACTGCTATTATATAAATAAATATAGTTATTTAACCTTAAGGGGGTGGTTGTATTGGTTCAGGAATATTGTGACTGATCCTTCTGGGCTGTCAAAAGGGAGTAGCTTACAAATAAACAGGTCTAAACATTCTGATTGCCTTTTGACATTATGTCAAAAATGATCTGAGAGTGAGCTTACCTGAACATCTCATCCCTTACTTTTTCATAGAGTTTTAGATTATCTGAGACGAAGAAGAAAACTGTAATGATGTCCATTGCAATTCCAAGAGGTTGGCTATATAAATTGGCGATATAAATACAACAACAACCACCACCACAACAATAATAATAGTTTCCTAGCTAATATAGTACCCCCAAATGTGTTTTCTCAGTGGGATTTCTTGTTTTACTAATGGTGATGATGATTCTGTAGAGTAGACTTTAATTTTAAGAAAATGAAATTTGTTCTGTGGGAGAGTAATAAAATCCTGTAAATAGAGGTTGAAGGATTTGGGCTTTTCATCTTGAGAAGATTGAGGGGGTGTAATTGTACTCTTCAAATATCTCAACAGATGTCATATGGAAACTCAAGATCTATTTTTTCTAATTCCAGCATTCAAGATAAACCACAAGAAACCACCTTCTGACTGAATTGTCTTTTTAAAAAAATCTTAATTGTAAGAGGAATTTACAGCAGAACCAATTACCAGAGAGATATGTTCAAGTTTAGTCCAGACAATCATCTTTCAAATGAGGGTACTTTGGATTCCACATTGAACAGGGGATGGAAACAATGGCCTAATTGTTATAGTCCATGGTTTATAATTTTCTTTTCATTTAAAATTCATTCCCCCCCCCCCCAATTCTGGGCTAAGTCCAGTAGGGTTGAAATATAGTTTTAAAGATAGATGGGAGAGAAATCTGTTGCGAGATTTCTTCAGAATCAATAGGCTCTTCAGAATAATATTATCAACCCAATTAAAGAACAAATTTGGATCTTATTCTGAATGCCACCCCAAAATATTTCCCCTTGTTAGGTGTTAATAGTAGTTTCCAACCAGCTGCTTATGTATTCTGTATCATGATGCTAAAATAATGAAGAGTTTTAGCTCTGACCAAATTTAATGTTATGCTATCAGCAATTTTAGTTACTAGATACTAGAAAATTGCATAGAAGCAGCACCTTTGCTCTTGCATAAAGAGGAATACTGACTCAGTAGAACATGTATTGCTTCTTTTACACAGAAATATGATCTATTTATGCTGCACCTATTATTAGGAAATTGCTAAATTGATCTCCTGGTGGTGAGCTAGCTGAAACTTTTATAGATTCTATAAGTCAACCCTTGGAGGTACATTCATCGGTTAAGAAATATGTTTAACTTTTAGCAAGGTAAGGTCTGTTATGGTTAGTAGGGATAGAATTAAGATAAGCTTAATAGAACTGATAGATTTCAGGTTTTAAATATTGACTGATAGCTTAGAATAGAAGGGAGGACTCAAACACGTTTCAGTTTGCAATATTTTATATATTTATGAAATGCTGTTTCTGTAGTTTTTAGTGGAGTGATTATAATGAAATAGATAATGCTAACCTCAAATTTCCTAAAGTAAATAGTGAATAACAGCCATAATATAGATAACATTTCTGTACAATACGACAAGCAAAAATTCTCATGGGTTTCAACACTTTAGATTTTACTACAAATTAAATTTTAAAAATTGAGAGTATTTTTTCCCTGACAGACATAAATCAGCCATTGAGAATGCCTCAGCCATCTTCACATTTTTTAAAATTAAGGATGGCTTAAATAGGTTCCATGTCATTTTTTAAAGTTTAAATTTAAAGTGTGCACATAAATATATATTCAGGGTTTGTACTAAATCTGGATTTCAGTACTCAATGCAATATTCATTTTCTTTAGCTCAATATCTACTGTAGATTTGAACCAACATGTAAATGCTGGTGTCTCCTTTTCTAGGACAGTGGTCGCCAACTGGTGGTCCGTGGCCCACTGGTGGTCCATGAGGAAAATTTTGGTGGGCTGCAGAGAAATGTCACCCCCAGAGCACCCCCCAAAGCAATTAATCCAGGCTGCGCGGGAACACAAGGCTGCGCTGCCCACATGGCCCACAGGAACCCTCCCCGCCCACTCAACCCTTACCTGGCAAACTTGCCTGCTAAGTTCTGCTGTGCTGGGAGATTTAGATTAGCTAGAAAGCAGGAAACCATTGGATTTCTTGCTTTCTAGCTAATCTTTAGACCTTCGGCTCTGCTTTTAAGCAGAGCCGAACCTTCCTTAGAACTGAACCTTCTATTATTCAGTGCAGACTCTCACTCTCTCCCACCAATGTCAGCAAGCCACCATCAGTTAAAATTCATATTAGTGGCCCCTGGGATTTAAAATTATGAATTTGGTGGTCCCTGAGGTCCAAAAGGTTGGCGACCCCTGTCCTAGGATATACATCTTCTTAAAGTAACTGTTGCATACTTAAAGTTTTCTCTGTGACTGAGCTACATAAAATCTACTGATGTGCAGCTCTCTATCATTATTCTGACTGAGATTGACTAAACACAAGACTTTTAGTGAACCTTCTGAGAAAATAAAGGAAAGTAGAGTACAAATGGTTGTGGTGAAAGTGGTGAAGAGGAGTTTCAGAGAATGTATCTATTGGAATGGGTTTGATACATATCTGTGATATTTATCTGTATTGCTCCAACAGCCATTAACTCTGCATTGACTTACATTGACATTCTGCATTTGCTAGTTTGCTGCTGATTTGTTGCTTTTGAAAAAAAATCCCCGTGGAGCTGTATGTAAGAAAAATAAAAACAGTAAATTACCATGTTTAAAAAAAATCCTATTCCGAGGACATTCCATGGTGTTATTACCCAATTAGTAACTAAGTCTTTGTACTTCAATATCCTGTAAACAGAGAAAGAAATAATATAAATTTTAGAAATTACAATTCTAAAATAACACTGCCTCCTTTAGATTTAGAAAATCTAAATTAGAAGCAGGCAGCATGGCTGAGACAGCCTGCAGACTAGCATACAATGGAATGGACCTTCTGGGCTAACTGATGATTTCTTCTTTAATTTTCCAAATTGGTGGCCTATATTAACATACCTTTACCATTTATGGGTTTTATGTGTAAAATAACACTGCCACCTTTAAAACATAATAAAAAAATGGCAGGCTTTTGATTGAAGATAACCTGTGATAGATGATAGCTACTTTTATATATCTATATTTCTTGGGATTTTTTTTTCATTGGCTTATGATTAAAAAAATAATAATTTTCCTAGTTTAGAAAGACAAGAACTGATATGATGAAAAGATATTTCTATGTGAATTGTAATATATAGTATTCTGAACTGATTACCCTTTGTTCCTGCTTGCTACAGGATCTGGGAATCTCCGCTCCTCCTTGCTGCAAAAGAAAATGATGTCTCAGCCATCCAGAAGCTGATAGCGAGCCATACCTGTGACCTTCATGAACGAGGTAGTGGTCCAACCTATTTATCATGGCCCTATTGCCTATTAAGAGAAATCACAATTTGAGGAGCAAAGAAGAGATGGTGGCGGAAATGTGTGGTTGGTTGATTGGCATATGCAAGGACAGCTTCAGATCCTGCAAGGAGCAAATGACTAAATGCCTTGAACTTCCTTCTGAAAAAAAAAAATGCCCCTCATGAATATGGCATGGTCACTCTTGTTTATTGTCTGTCAGAAGAGAGGCCACACACAAGAGATCTCAGGAATAGACATGTCCAGCATTCTGTCTGTTGTGACCTATAAACATAACTGTCGTAGTTGTGACTATCTCTAGAGGGACCATCCCTAGATCATTGCAATGTCATGACAGCTTCTCTTTCTTCGACACTCTTTGTAGGTGCTGTTGGGGAGACAGCTCTTCATGTAGCTGCCTTATACAATAACTTAGAAGCTGCTCAGCTCTTGATCAATGCAGCTCCAGAACTTGTGAATGAACCTGTGACTTCTGAGCTGTATGCTGGTAATTATTATGATTATTGGTTTTATGTCTCATACTTTGCATAAAATATCAATGAAGAAAGCATCAGTTATCGTAAACATAATTAGTCACCTTCTGGCTCACAAAAGGAAAAAAGAATCCTAGAATATATTTATGGAAACTCTATTGAAATGGGTATTTTCATGATACCCAGCTATAGAAAATAAGATAATGGGATTACTCGTGGCAAGATGTTCCTTCACTTTTCTCCAATTACTATTCAGGCCCACTTCCAAGTCTTCAGTTGCTAATGGGACATGGTGGACCTTTTCAGTAGGGTTACTGTATGGAAGCTAATTTTCCGATGAGAAGAATGCACTTCAATGAATATTTTATTTAGCATAAGAATGGAGTATCAGTTAGAAACAGTCACTATAGATGAATCCCAGACAACCATTTATTCTACAACAGACTGTGATAATATAACCATTTAAGTCCAATTTCTCTCTACAGTGCCCAGAAACAGTGAAATATTGAATATGTTTTAGTATATATGTTTTAGACATATAATTTGGCTAATAACTTGCTCAGAATATAATTTGCCTTGTTTAAAGTAAGAGTATATTTGAGAACCTGATGTGCATTGTAAGACAATGTTTTACTTGCTCCATAAACAATTTGGAATATGACATGAAGAATGAAATACTCAAATTTTCAAATACTAGGAACCAAATGAAATGGAACAAACTAAATTATGTAAATGGACAACAAAATGGCTCATTGTAAGTGACTGCAGTCTAAGTTTCATACTGACAGAATTTGCAGTTCTGGGGAAAATATTTGTGATTCTGGTGGAAAGACATTTTGCGATTCTGATGAAAATACTAAGAATCCCCAGTTTAAAAATAAACACAAGAAGACTAATTCCATGTGAGAGATTATTATTGAAAGGAATAAAAAGTATATCTGCTGATATTATAATATAAATGGACATAATAGTGCAACTTAAAGCACTACTATTCAAAATGGATTAGTGTTCCCATATAGGGAGCTTGTGGTGAGATCAGAATCAAGGAACTCACAGTTCAGCCATTTTGCCACTGCCTCATACTAGGCCCCTGAGAAATATCTTCTAAGAAATTCAAGATGGAATATTAAGCAGCGCATTAAACATTAAAACTCTTGAATGAGAACCTGGGTATTCATTTTTAACGGCAATTAACTTTGCAATTGCATTAATAATTAAATCCAGCCTCCAAACTAACACTGAATCAAATTCAATTCCCTTCTGCATTTAACCCTGATGAACTTCTTTGAAAATGCATGAGGCTGCTATAAACTATAAGTGATTTAAAATATGTATTTATGTTGTTCATGAGATACTAATCTATAAACTACATTGATCATATAATGAGCTCTCCAGGACACTGATCATAGTTTCCAGAGGAATAACAAATTTCTGTGTAGAAGAAATAACAGAGAATCTTACACAATCTTAAGATTTAACAGCATTATCATAACTTTGTGCTTCATGGAGTACAGGTGTCCTCTTTGTGTTGTGATCCTGTCAGGAAGCTACTAAGAAGTAGATAGAGCAATCTGAATTAAAGAAGAGTACATGTAGATATGATGGGCCATATGAAATTCTCCGTGGTCCAGAACCCAATCTTTTGGCTAGAGTGCAGACAATTATTTCAGCCCTACTCTTAATTTTGAACATCCAGCCAATATTTGCCTTTATATAAGCCTACTACTTCTTGTTGCAGAGCTTTTCCTGTAGATGCCAACTTCTTTTAGGGGTGTGGGGAGGGGGGGTATAGATTTAATAAAACAGACAGGAAATGTTTCCTCAGGCGATCGATTTTCATAAGAAAAACTGAGCTCTGTTAATTAAGATCAGTGGCTAATAGCTCTTCTTGATCCATCAAGGGATTCAGTTCAAAAAAATCTGAGTTGAAGAAGACTGTTGATAACCTTTCATGACTTTCTGAAATCAGTGTCACCAGAGGCCATGAGAATATGATGAAATAGTTCATGTAAATGCATAACTATGCATGCTTATATATACATATACAACATATATATATATCCATGCACACACAAATGCACACATGTGGAATTTCAAGATGCTACAAGGGTTTTTGTTAATGTTGTGTATTACAGGGGAGACAGCTCTTCACATAGCTGTGGTAAACAAAAACTTGGGCCTGGTTAAAGCTTTACTTGAGAAAGGAGCGGACGTGAATGGTCCTCGTGCTACTGGATATGTTTTCAGGAGAAGAAGTGACAGTCTTTTCTATTTTGGTATGTTGGCGGTCAAATACCTTCTGTGTGAATAATCTGCAATTCGCATTGTATAGAGGAAACACTGGTAAGGAGGAACATTCTGTCCCTTGCACCCACCTCTTTCTGAGACAGAAAGTGCTCTTCTCTGAAACAGTAGTCCTCTCAACTATCATTCCTCTGTAAACTAAAAGTCCACATGCTTAACTTGCTTAACGTGCTTAACTTGGGGTCAGGGGGGTTGCTTTGAGGGGCAAGGTTATTCGGAAAATCTATAAAAATAACAGGAATTCAGCCTATGGCACCTGATCTGGCATGGGCAGCTCTTTTTATCTGCCCATTTTCACAACTCAGTCCTCCGTTGAGGAGCATGAAGTCATCAGCCAATCAAAAGAGATCAGATATAAAGAAGGTCAAGATTGTTGTGTTGCCTTTTCAAAATAGTTTTGTAGAAAAGAGAATCTATGAATATTTTCTCATTCCCACTTAACCAATTGATCAGCTGCCCATTTGCATCTAACTGCCCAGGTCAACACTAAGGATTGCCTAAGCATTTAAAACAATAGTAACAGTGAGATCAAGTATGTTGGTTTTTTTCATGTCTAGGGATATATGTGTGACTAAAAAGTTTGATCTTATTTTATTTTTTATTCTTGTTTTTGTTTCTATGAGGGGTATTGTTTATTGTTATTATCCTTATGGCTGTTTTGATTGGTTTTAACTTCAGCATGGATATTTCAATTTTTATTTATGTAGCCTTTAGATTGCCGAGGATTTGATGGTGGAGAGTTGAAGTAAAATTTTAAGATAAATTAATAAAAAGGCAATGATAATATTGTCCCATAAGACAAAATTAATTAATTTGTGTTAAATATCTTTAGCAAACAGAGCTTTCTCATTTAAGAGAAATGTAGCCTATTACATAAGAAGGAAAAACCAGCATCAAATAGAACAGAAGTATCTTCTTCTCATAGTAGTCTGTAATTCTACTATCACTGCCTATTTTTGAAAATAAACTATTCTGAAACAACCGTCAGACTTCATTATTTCAATTGCTTTTGCAATGTTTGTATCAGGTAGTACTGTTATTGTTCTGTTCCCACTGAAGAGACTAACGGAAAGATCTCATAATGAATTCTTGATAGAGGTAAGTGTTAGTCAGGACAAGGGAAGCATCTACACTCCTTTCTGAAATGGCTATTGTTGGCTTTTCCCAAGGAAATATCATTAAGAAGAGGGAGGTGTGTTGAGGATCTCTTAATGGAGAATTCATGCTACCAACTCCTAGCCTATTTAGAGGAAGCCACATTGGTTTAAACCTGATAGAAACAAAGGAGGAATTCCAATCAAGAACTAATTTGATCTGATATATGAACAAGAACAGGAGCTTTCATGCTTCCTGAATCTTCTTTTTCCAAAAGATGTTTTTAAAGTTGCTTATTTTGAGAGAAAATATGATTTTAAAGGTCTATTGGAATTTGTGCATTTTTAAAAGCAAAAAAAAAAAAGTTGAGTCCATAGAACAAGAACTACAAATGTAGCAGATGTAAGTTGACCTAGCAGTAAGTTGTGTGTCCATGTGCTATTACCTCTCACTTTCCCTAAGGATGTCATGCTCTTCAGTTGAATTCCACTACAATTCAGACAAATGGATCTATTTTAGCTATTAGCAAGCTGTTCCACCTCTGGTTTCCTCTAGTATTTTGATTCAGAGACTCTCTTTTTTTCCCAACAGCAGCTAAATACCCAGCCAACAGAAATCCAGATTTCCCAGTTGGCTGCAGTGGAGCTGAAGATTGGCCATGCTATGATTAGCGAGCTCCCTCATTACCTGTTTCAGACCATAATTAAGCTATACTTAATAGATCAATTTTCAAGCATTTTAGTAATGACTCCTCATTAATCTTCACTGTGAGTAAATTGTAACACTCTGGAGTGAGAGTGTGAATGAAAGGGGATATCTCCAGATTCTGCCATCCTATTCCTCCTCTGGCTGCTTATATTCCAACTAATTTCCAATTCTGTTGGGAAATGTGCATTCCCAGAGGTTATTTGGATTAGTTTAATGACAGTGGAGACTAGAGTAAAGGGAATCTTTCTTAACTGAGTGGTATAATAATAAAAAGATATTGGTACAGTGATAAGGAAATATAAATATGTTATCACAATATATATACACATATATACAGTATGTATACATAGGGTGTATGTGTGCATGTATATATTATTTTCATCTTGGATATGTTGCCCAATGATTTTTTAAGCTTAAATATTGCACAAAAATAATCTTTTCCTTTTTCTCCCTTCTTCCTTTCTTCCTTTCTCAGGGGAACACATTTTGTCATTTGCAGCATGTTCTGGGAGTGAAGCCATTGTCCAGTTGCTGATTGAAAATGGCGCTAAGATTCGAGTGCAGGATTCTCTAGGTATGCCTTCCTCAAAGGCTCTACACTTACTCTAAGGGCATGCATGTGGGATGAGAAGGTGATTTATGCAACTCTTCCCTTGTGTAAGACAAACTCCTTCTCTTATCTCCTGCCATTAATATTACACTGCAGATGTAGACAGATACTTCCTAGTCAACTGCTCTGTTACAGTGGTCCTTCTTGTAGAGATAAGGCCCCTTTCCAATCTATAGAGGGTTTGTGGGAGATTGAGGGGGCATGTTGGCTTCAGGATGCATTTCTTTGTCCTCCCTCCCAAAAAATATTCACATAACTGTTGCTGTTCATGGAAAATCATCCTATCAGTTGCATTGGGTGAAGGCATGAGATTGTTATAGGTATATGCTGGAAAAAAAATGCAGATGATCTAAACTAGCTGTAAGAGCCAAGCTATGTGATCCGAAGAATCATCTTGTTCAGCAATTATCACTTCAGAATGCAAGGATTTAAATACATAATGTGTTAGAAGATCCTTTTCTGTATCGTATTTGCTTTTTTATGAAGAAAGATGCTGAATATTTCATACTATAATGATACATTCTCCACTGGTTATCCAGAATGATACAAACTAGCTACTGCTAGTTTGACTGACTCTGTTGTTTAAGTAAATTGGCCTGGAATCTGTTAATTTAAACAATTAAAAAGTCTATTCCAAATCATACAGCAGCCAAAACTTTCTTGGCAAAAATATTCAATGCAGGAAACTCCATTCTTTATTTTTTAATTGTTGGACTCCGTTTCCCACTAAGCCAAAAAAAGGAAGATTGAAGAGTCTGAACAGGGATCAATGATATCTCGATTTCTCCTTAAGATACAGAGATGAACTTAATTTCTATTTCTGTTTAATTCCTGATAGGTAATTCAGTCTTCCACATCTTAATCCTCCAGCCTAACAAGGCATCCGCATGTCAAATATACGATCTTCTCCTTTGCTATGACAAGAAAGAGAAGGGTCTGGGAGACCCGGATGCAGTCCTCAATTATGAGGGATTCACCCCATTTAAGCTGGCTGGGGTAGAAGGCAACACTGTGGTGAGCAAAATGGTTTCTCTACCATTCATTTTTATCATTTCTTGTTGGAAGTAAGTGCCCCCTTTTCAGGAAGGATTTAAAGGTGTTCAAACCCTGCAATAAAATTGTAAGACTCTAAAACAAATAAAAGCTACAAATGATGTATATTCCATGAACGTCCTGATGGTTCAGATTGTTGTCTCTTAAGTCCAGTGAGGCAGTGAGAATTTTGTGATCTTGTCCCACTTCTGGACCCATTTTCCAGAACGTTTTGCCAATTTAAAACCTCTCTGGATGAAGGTGGGGAAGATCCCTGAGGTGACAAAATAAGTGAGAGAAATCCTGCTATATTTCCCTCAGCTCAGCTTGCATAAGGATGATACCAAATCCTATTACTTATCACAGCCAGTACTTCACTTCTTGGAAGTGTATCTATAAAATCTTCTAGGGAAGACTACCAATCATCTCTTTCCTTGTAACAATGGAGGTGGATATGTGGTGAGCTTGGCAAGGGCTCCACAAAGGAGAAAAACAACGTATTGCTGTATCTCAACCCTGATTGGCTCCTTCATGGCTCCTTTCTGGCAGGCAGTAAAACGATACTTCCTTCGCCCCATACCCCATACTTCAGGAGTTAGGTTTTTAAAGGTTGATTGCTGAAAGCACCTCTGTTTTGGAGCTCTTCAATCAAAAACTAGATCTTAATTTTCTAGAACATCACTGAAAGTGTTGAAATCCAACCTATATGCATTTTAATCAACATTTTTTCCTGACCCTTTTATTTTATTTATTCATTTATTTGATTGATATAATTCTTTTTCAAGAGCTCAGGTTGGCATCCATGGAGCTTTCTGCTCTATATTTTCCTCATTATAAAAGCCCAGTGAAAAATCAAATTGAGAGATAGTGGTTAATCAAATCTAGTGATTTGTGATTAGAATCAAACTCAGGATCTCCTTGGTTCTAATCCAGTACAATTACATCAGCCTTTCTGACCTGCTGTACTATAAAAAAATTAAATGATTTGACTTAATAAAAGAAACCCCAAATACCTGGCCAAAAAGGATCATCAGGGCAAACATTTATTTCTGAAACAAAACTAAAGGCTAGGGACCCTAACCTACTAGCTTAGGATGTTACATTAAAGCTGCATTAAATATAGGTATCAGCATAGCCTATTTGACATGCATTCTCTGGACAGGAATCTACATTTCAAGGTAAAAGTTTATACTCTGGGCTGTTCCACAATTTTTTTAAAAAAAAGCAAACAACACTCATTTGAGAGAAAAACACAATTTTCTTCCATATCACCCTTAGTTTAAAGAAGAGTAGAATGTGCAGAGCAGACAAACTACAGGAGACAGACAATCCTTCAAATAGTCAGGCTAGTTAAATGTAGGGAAACTTCTGTGAATCCCGCTGTGTAAGCCATATTATTGATAGTTTTATTGTATTCTCTAACTTTTGTATTAGCTTGCATTTTGATAAATTAAAAGAGAGATATGACAGATATCGGTTGTGGGAGCAAATACCCCCTTCAACAGCAAGTGTCCAGGCTGACTGAAACTTTTCTTTTCCTCAAATTAGCTGTTCAACCACCTAATGCAAAGAAGAAAACACGTCCTATGGACTTTTGGGTCTTTGACGTCTACCTTGTATGACCTTACGGAAATTGATTCATGGGGCGATGACCAGTCTCTTCTGGAACTTATTGTCACCACAAAAAAAAGAGAGGTATTATGTTGAAAGGAGGGGCTGCTGGATGTTTCTTCTCAAAGTGTCTTTTTAGTAGAGAACCAGATTTATTCAGTCAGATCAGACCATCTTTTCTGAATACAGATTCTTTTCTACAACTGATTTTTCGAAGTGTATCCATAAGACAGTGTGGGATGCCTTCAACATCTGCAATAGGTTAGAGATTTTGTGGCAGGTATCTGGAGAGTTTCTGACTAATGAGCTCTCATATAATAAGATCTCCTTTCTTAAAGTCACCCTGTGATCCAAAATCCACAAAGGGTTTCAGTAAATATTAGGCAATTATCTGGTGAAGCAGTGGTTAGAAAGCAATATTGCAGGCTGACTCTGCTCACTGCCAGGAGTTTGATCCTAACTGGCTCAAGATTGACTCAGCCTTCCACCTCTTAGAGAGTGTTATCAAGCACTATGAAGCTGAATATAAGTTTAAATGTTATTGCTATTGCTATCGTTGCCTTATATTAAGGGCACATTTGTGTTATCCTATGACATTCTTATGGTCATACTGCTTGAATTTGCAATATTTAAAAGAATTGAAGGAAATAATGCAACCAACCAGCATATGAACTGGATTTGGTTGGTGGCATTTTTAGTGTATTTCAGCCCTGAATGGTCATCTGCCTTCCTCGAAGATCTCACACATCTTCAAGCTATGTTCTGCTTTTGCATCTTCATCCTTACCAACTTCATAATTAGCACCATCCATTACTATTTTTACACACTGAAGACTTCTAGCAAGGACTCCAGTGCTCTGTAATGAGAAACTGGATCTTTCAATATATTCTCCAGGAGTAACACCGTCTTTTAAAAATAATCCAAGTACCCCCTTCATTTTCAGGGGTTGCTTTTGTTGTCTTTGAGAATTATTTGTTTATAAGAAAAAAAGGCTGAACACAGGCTATTTTACATCCCTCAGGCCCGAAGAATCCTCGACCTTACTCCTGTGAATGAGCTGGTAAGCCTGAAGTGGAATAAATACGGACGGCCCTATTTTTGTATTCTGGCCTTATTTTACGTCCTGTACATGATTTGCTTCACAATGTGTTGTGTCTACCGACCCCTGAAAGAGCGAAGCTTCAACAAAACAAATGAAAGAGATAACACAATCTATGTTCAGAAACTTTTGCAGGTAGGTTCTTTAACATGAATCTATTAAAAATGTAAAAATCATTTACAATTTTCAATTCCAGGAGAAACCAGGGGTGGGATTCTAACAGTTTGCACCTATTCACTAGAACCAGTTGTTAACATTCTAAGCAGTTCAGAGAACTGATTGTTAGAAGAAATTACTGGCCTAATCCTGTAAGGAAGGCAGGAAGGAAACTTTCTGGTGTTGCTTACAGAAACTGCCTCTCCGTTAACCCTTATTACATTCTTGGCAGGACTAGACTTCCTGTCTCAGGAACGTCTCTGGAGTTTTTTTTCCTCCTTTGCTGATACTTTGCTTGTGTGGATGACCATTCAAAGTTACAATGGCACTGAAAAAAGTGACTTATGACCATTTTTCACACTTACGACTGTTGCAGCATCCCCACAGTCATGAAGCTAGGCAAGGAGATGCATGCCTCGATGTGAGTGATGCTGAGTTGGTCACACCCAGCCAATAACATGACCACCAAGCCATGCCCCACCAACTAAGCCACGCCCGCAGAACCGGTTGTTAAAAAATTTGAATCGCACCCCTGGGGGAAACAACTTCTCCAAAGATAGTGCACAGCCAGATATAACCAAGGGCTGGAGAACAATTGGCCTGGGAGGCAAAAAGTAGTGGCATTGTCCATTTAATTTAATTGTGTGGGGGTGTGGGTGGGGAAACCCCTGCAATAACAAGTTGGTGCTCTATACAGCAATTCTGTGCATATTCATTCAGAATTTCTCAGTACCCTGTGGAGTTTATTCCCACTGCAGCGTCTTGAGAAGTCTTGAGCTTGGCATCAGCTCAAATAATAACAGGCAAATTGGTAGTTAGAGGGAAAAGTGTGGACACTATTAGTTCAGTTGATGGATTTTCCGGACAAACGATAACAGTTCAGAAGACTCCCTGAAAATTGCTCTTTAGCGAGTGTGGCAGTTAATGACTTGACTATGAGAGAACACATTTTATGCAAAATCGAAACATGTACAGAAATATGGTAGGAGGTTTTCCATTTCCCATGTGCTGCTGTTATGCTCCTGTGAGGAAGTAGAATGGCACAGCCATTGCATTTAAGAGCTTCTTTGACTATAAACTGTGATTGTACTAATATGTGTGCAGCCTTTATTTTCTGTGTTTATCAAACAATAGGGGATTCTCTACACGAACCATATTGTGGATGTGTAATGACCTTATGCAAGGCTTCAATTCATTTAGCGCTAAATTGTGGCAGTAAAGGTTGGTAGGAGATATGGGTATTCATTTATGCCTATTTCTCCCACAACAGTCTTCCCAGTCTTAAATAGAACTATAAGGAAATTCAGTCAAATGTGTGAACCCTTTCCTTGCAAATCTGCACATTAAATTCATGAAGCTCTTTTTCAATAGTCAGATAAACAAAGGATCCCTAAAGTTGAATAGTTGAATATTCTTAATAAACAACTGACTTCCCATAGCATAGTTTTTCATCAGTACATCGAGAGTTTCTTTCCCTTCAATTTGGCCTCTCTCTTTCTCTAAAATATCACTGTCACCTAATACACTAATTTCTGTTGTCATCTGTCATGGTTTTACTTCTGAAAGGCTTACTTTTCATTGTCATAACAGGAAACATTAGCATTTAATCTCCTGAGTATGAGGAAGTTGAAGTCTTTTTCCTTTTTTTAAAGAAAGAGAGGCAGATAGATGGACACAGCAGAGATGAAGTCAAACTTTCTCAAGTTCTTAGAATGTCAGGCAGCTGGCTCACTTTGCTTGGAACTGTATTAATTCTGAAAGTTGACTACTAGTGGGGTTCCCAGCTGAAAAGCACATTAGCTCACATTATTAAATAATCCTGCAGGATTCAGGTTTCTAAGTTTCCTGCTATTCACACACACCCTTCTTCAAAATTTTAGAGTGATATGAGTGATAATCAAAGTAATTATGTAGTTTTCAGCAACTGTATCTAGAACCATTGGGTGGATTCCACTTTGCTAGTCTTGTGCTTATCCACTAACCTTTTGGGATGTACAGATTGTGAAGCCTCCAACTAAAAGGCAAATGGATGAGTAGTCACTAATATTGTTTCTCTGACATGATGATGGAGTGCAGTCCTGGATATATGCTCACTCTCCACTTTTATTGATCATCATTGCCATCTTGGTCTAAATCCATAAAACAAGGAAGTTGGATCCTTGAAATATTAATTCTTGAGGTTGTGATGCTCCTAACCAATATGGGTTTGCATTCCTTTTCAGGAGTCTTATATTACTTCTGAAGATAAGCACAGACTTGTTGGTGAGTTGATCACTGTTGTTGGAGCCATTGTGATATTGATATTGGAGGTAAGAGCAATGTTTATCCTTCTCCAATCTTTATGTGAAAAAAAACCTTGGGTAGAAAGCAACTGAGCAGCAGAAGAAGCATTCTATAATAGGATTAGCAATATTGTTTAACGTAAGTTCTTTCTAAATCCTCTGACCTCTATTTGAAGGCTGCTACAATGTACATCCTAGATCCTAACCTAGTGCAGTGCTAAGCTATAGTGTAATATTGTAGTGCTTAACTAAGAAATCTTCAAGCTTTGCCTATGCAGAAGTCACAGGCATTTTGAATCAGTCATTTTTGCATCAGGGAGGGACCCAAAAGTTCTTTTTCAAGAGACATTGGACTTTCTAGTTTTTCTTTGAAGATGTTTCACTTCTCATCCAAGAAGTTTCCTCAGCTCTGAATAAGTGAAACATGACAGTTTAAGGTCATCTTCTTGGATGAGAAGCGAAACATCTTCAAAGAAAAACCAGGAAGTCCAGTTACCTCTTGAAAAAGCACCTTTGGGACAATCATGACCTGAATGACTGAGAATCTCCATAAACATCAGGGAGTGACTTCTCCAAAATAAAGGAGAAGGTGTCAGCTTGTGGTTGCAGTCCATATAATTCATTCAGATTCTAGTATTGAAAAAAAAAGTTGTATCACTGAGTTTCTTTGGCTTTGGGGTTTCTTTCTTTCTTTCTTTCTTTCTTTCTTTCTTTCTTTCTTTCTTTCTTTCTTTCTTTCTTT